GAACGCTTACATCACTTGTCAGTTATAGAAAAATCCCGGTTCCTTGCGAATCTTGCTTTTAGCAATTTCCCCCCACTATCATGTTTATCTCAACATTTTTATTGCATTTTTATTTCTTATATTACATGTAGAGAAATGTTCTCATTTACCCCAATGGAAGAAAAAAATCTAAGCTTGCAGTTGTTTATGAATTATGGGTAAAGCATCGGGGCTGCATTTTGTAGAAGAAAGAAAACTTTGTACTATTAAAAATGAGACCAACGATTCTCAGTTGACCAACTGAAGTGAAACTCCCAATGGCAATGAGTTCATGAATGCATTGTAATAGGAATAACTATTATCTAACAGACCTAAGTTTAAGTCAGTTATTCTGATGCTTGACTGATGTATTGTCAATAAATCATCTAAGCTAACTCTTCATGGATTCAAATAAATGCTTTTGCATCACTATTGTGCTTTCTGCTATATGTCAGTGTCTTTATGTTAGACAAAAGACTTTTTCTGTCTCCATCTTCATAATTCTATAAATATAATAATAAATGTATAAAGAATTAAACATTAAACTGCAATAGAAACAAATTTTGTCAGTGTGGCATTCTAATCATGAACTAGTGAAAGTAGGTATTAAAGTATTATTCACATGGTTATAATGCAGTCCCAGACAATGCCATTTGAAGATATTGTTTAATTTTTTCCAAAGGGTGCTTTGAATACTTATGTGGTGTTTTCCTATAAAAACATCATATATTGTGCATTTCTACATAAAAGCCTTTTCAGCTGATTGGTGTTTGCTTTTTGCGAACACAATACTGTACTTGTGGTTGAAAAACTGGGAAGAAATATTAACATACTTAGGAATAAAATTGAGGTGTCATCATAACTTAATAATATCAGAGATCAAAAAATAGGTTGTAAAATCTTTATATAAATAAAGGTATGTGCTGTTATATTACTTATAATACTAATCCAACTCCCAGTTCCCATATGAGAGTATGCAGCTGTTGTTTACATGGAGGTCTGCCTAATATCTCAGCTATTTTTCTGTGGAATGAGCAAAAAGGAGGTACACCCAACATAGCAATGCTTATTTGTATTTTGACTTCTTCCCTAGAGTCTTTTAAGCACATCCCTAATGCTTCCATGGGAGTTGAGAGGACAAGTAGCAGCCATATGCTGCTAATCAAATGTACCAAAATTCCTCTATAATTATGAGAGAGCCTGATGAAATCATACAGAGGATGCTTTGTTCAAATTATTGCTGCTAAAGGTGATTCTGCAAAAGTCTGATTCACAGTGTTTGTAGTTTTTCACTAAGAAGTGAACATAATGAAATATTTAGATTGCACACAGCCTCTGCAACATCTCAGTGTACTATTTTAAACATTAAACTGCTGTTAAATTTCCTTTAAATATGTGTTTCAAACAATTCAGCGTCAACTGATTTATTAATCTTAAATGTTGAACTTTGTCTTTTTAAGTCTGTCAATTTTAAGAGAGCTTTAAAACAATAATGCACTCATTTTTTTAATCTTATAGTGATGATTGTGTGGTCAAAATGAGCACAACTCTTTTTGAAATTGAGATTTGTACAGGGAGTTGCCTTTTATGTTAAGTGGCAGAAACTGTTTGTGCCTCATAAAGTCAAATGTTATCATTTCTGCATTCACCCATAACTACGTCAAATCCGTATTCTCATGTTTAGATTCATAGAGTCTTTAAGGTATCACAACACAGTCGCCATTTTTTGGTTTGAAAGGAGGGAGGTTAATGGACAATCCTTAATGAGACGTTCCAGCTGCTTACTGTGGACTGAATCCCTCCCACATTACTTCTAGCAAATATCTCAGTTCTTTTTCTGCAGCAAAGAAGCAGCAAAGAAGCAGTACGCCCAGCACATCACTTCTCGTTGGTGGGGTGAGTTCTCTCCTGTTTATCTCTGTATTGTACTAAATTTTGTGCTACCAAATGGTTTTAACTCTTGAAAACACTTTAAAACAACAAAGATAAAGAAGTACAACACGCTAGCTAGAAAAAATTAATTGAATTTAGCAATTTCTGCATAAAGAATGTCTATAATTGGAATATTTATCATTCTTCCATTTGAGGGTTAGGGCTACATGGCTTTTATATGGAAAACTTAAGACTATATTTAACCAAAATTTCAGTTCTGAACTACGAAGATGAGACTGCTTCTCTTATTCTCCGTCATCTGCTTGATGGCCACTGTCAGCTTCAGTCAGCCTCCTGGTCCTCCTGGTCAAAAAGGTGAAAAAGGAGATCCAGGATATCCTGGGTTTGCTGGGATGATAGGACCACCTGGACAAGATGGTATTCCTGGATTTCCGGGGAATAAAGGTCAAAATAACTGATGTTATTACTTCATTCCAGCAGTATTTTAAAGGATGTAATTTCGAACTAAATTTAGGTCATTTATTTTTTATTTGGACAGACAAATATATTTGATTTTGAAGCCACAAGCACCTTTAGCTGGCTCACCACCTGTTTATCTATTCTGCAGGGGAGCGAGGATTTCCTGGGCTACCTGGATTTCCTGGCATTCATGGAACATGCTGTAAAGTTTACACTTAAACACCTTTTTTTGCAATGATTGCTTTAGATCATGTACACCTTAGTTATCTGGCATGTTTTTTAAAGATAAAGGCTATGTGTCCCCTGATGTGCCTTGAAATCTATGCATATGGTGACACAATTAGGCAGGCGCAGGATTAGAAATAAGTCTACTGTATTTATAGTCCGTAAAGTTACTGAAGCTTGATTGTAGACTGTCGTTCTCTCTGTAACATTTGTAGTCACACAAATTTCTCACAAGGCCTCGGTTGTTTTGGTTGGTTACGTTTACTCAAAGCTGGAGTATATAAAACAATTTATGCCTGCACGCATTTTGTATTTTCTCGTGTTATCTCCTGATTTGTTGATCATAAGTGCCCACAACATAATTCACATGGGGGTAATTTGATCACTGTCTAAATTTAGATGCTGGTTAGCAGCATGTCAACGATGATGGATGAGCTAGAAAAACAGTTTACAAATGGTAACCACTTGTTTTTTCCATATTTCTCTCATGACTGAACAAAACGTCCTGAAACAGTTTAAAGAGCCCATACAGTAAGCTTAACAGAGTGATTATCTAATCATTTCAGAAATCAGAAGAACAACAACAATTCCTTCCATGTCATAAATAAATAAAAGTTTGGAAAAGAAAATCTATCAGTGGTTAAAAGTGAGGCATAAAACGAAGAAACTTTAAATGACCATTTGTAGGTACAGCACAGCTGTAAGTGTGGCCTCTGTGTAAAGTTCACTAACTTGATCTGTTTGATCCAGCTGCTACTGAGACGAGCTGCCCAGACCTCAGAGCCTTGAAGGACAGACTTGCCAAGCTAGAGCTCGGTAAGTGTCACAATCATGTGTTTTTAATTCAAATTCAAACACAACTCAGTTACAAAGAACTGTTTTTGTAAAATACACAGGACATCTGAAAAATACAACTTTAAGTCTAATTTTCAGACATGATTGATAAGTCATCATATTCATCATCATATTTCTGTGTGGCAGTTTTCCATGTGTCTACAACATTAGATTGATTTTAAATAAAAAAGCCTAAGAGTAACAGTTTGCTTTATTACATTTTTCTGTTCTCTAGCCATTAACTATCATTTTGTCCGGAGAGTTGGTCAGAAATACTTTGTGTCCAACAAGGAGAGAGGCTCTTTCTCCAGGGCTGTCGAATTCTGCTCCCAACAACAC